GATGATACCTACGTTAAATTCTTCAACAGGTATATGCATTTCTGATTAGAGCACAGTTAAACTATCTCTTGAGGAAAAAAGTTGAAAATTACTTTCATGCCCATTTTGCATCCTTATGAAAATGGATGATTATAGGGTGCATTTTTTTTTTGTTTGTTTTTCTTTTTGCTGTAAAGGCAAAAATGCCTCGCAAGCAACAACAACAACAAAAAAAGTACGGTGAAGGTGTTTTACCTGACAGGACTGTACGGAAGTGATTCGCTAAGTTTAGAGTTGATGATTGTAGCCTTATTGATGAAAAACATTAAAGCAGACACCTCCATTACAGATGATGACCAAATCAAGACATTGAGAATAACCTGCATTACAAAAAAAAAAAAAAAAATTGGCAGAAACATTAAATTTATCAAAATCCACCATCCATGAACACTTAGTGAAGCTCAGGTACTCAAATTGCTACGATGTTTGAGCACCACATGATCTGAGTGAAAAGAATCTTTTTGATTACCTTTTATCTGGGATTTTCTGTATGAAAATGCACTTTTCAAAGCAAATTGTGACAGGTGTTGAGAAATGGATGGTTTACAACAATGTTCAGCAAAAAAGATCCTGGGGTAAGCGACATGAGCCAACTTTAGCCACCTCAATCGGCAGGTCTTCATCCTAAGAAAGTCATGCTGTGCATCTGATGGGATTGGAAAGGAATCCTGTACTACGTGCTTCTGCTAAGTAACCAATCAATTTATTCTGAAAAGTACTACTCGCAACTGGATGAATTAAAAGGTAGCAATTCAAGAAAAACACCCAGAATTGGTGAACTGGAAAGGTGTCATTTTACATCAGGATAAAGCCAGACCTCACTTTTGTGACCTGGTAAAATTGTTGCAACTTGGCTGGGATGTGTTATCCCACCCAACATATTTATCATAGTTCCTTCGTGTTTTCATTTATTCAGATCCTTGCAAATTAATCTGTTGTAAAAATTAACTGACATAAAAAAAACACCTTTTAATGAATTCTTTGCCAAGAAACCACCAAAATTCTGGGAAGATGGAATCTTTAAGTTGAAGGAAAAATGGAAAAAGGTTGTGCAACAAAATGGTTCATATTTAGTTGAATAAATATTTAATGGTATATTTTTGTTTTAATTTCTTTTAAAAATCCACATGAACTTTCCAGACAATCCAATATTTATAGTGACTTTTTTTTTTTTTAGTAAATAGATTAAAATAAAAATTAAAAATGAATTAAACTGTTTAGGATTGTTTGCTATTACTGCTAGACATTAGACTGGAAGCAAAGGAAGATTTTGAAAGTTTTAATTTCAGACTTAATTACTTTCAAGAAAAAGCATGAGGAAATTAATGGCTTCTTTAAAATAGATTTAAAGACAAAATGATGAACATGGTTTTTCTCTGGTAGTTAAATATTTGACCATAATTCGACACTTTTGATAAAACCAAACCATAGAATTAATTTGATTCAAGAGAAATTCTTTACACTCCATATATGAATGAAAGATGAAAACTTTGAAATTAACTTAAAAAATTGTTATGAAGAAAAAAAAAAAAAAAAAAAAAATCTGGTTAAAATGAAGTGAAATAAATTCAAGGACACTTGTGAAAATAGATTTAAGATAATGTTGACATCTTCGCAACTTCAAAAACCAAAATTGAAATTTATAATTAAAGTTTGACTTGACCCTTTAAATTCTCAAACCAATTCCTGTAGACTCAGACGTTTAACCTGATGCCAGTTCTCTGGCTTGAAAACCAGTTTCTTAAGCAATTACTATTTTCATGGTTTCATAAGCCATTTTCTCAAGAGAGCAAAGATTTTAACACAATCTACTGTTTTGACCCCCTCCCGCCCCCAAATTCCAATCACTTTAAAACCTGATGTCTTTTGACAAATCCAAAAGCTGGAAGTGGATTACAAGCAAATTTTCAGGCTATTTTGACTGACCCAGTTCTTCTATAGGCCATGATGTCCTTTCAGGTCTTGTGAGGGGTCAAGTTCTTCAGGTCCTTTTTCTTATTCTAAGGAAGGAAGAAAAAAAAGTTAAGGACTTTTTATTTTAGTAGATGAAGTGTTGTGCTGACTTTTCAATAAGGTGCTATGTCTTTTGTAAAACCAATTACAAGTGCTACTAAAAAAGGAGAAATTGTTTCACAAATATATTTACTCACAAGGAAGGATTATTAGGCAATGAATGAAATCACAAAGAGTTTACAAAAAACATTTCTCTACAGCTGACAGTCGTCATTCTTTAGTTTGCTTAACTTCTAAGAAACAATAACTCACTACCATGACCATAAAATTGACTGTCTTAAAAGATCTAGTTTTGTAGCAGACAGTTCTTTATTAAAAGAAACCAGAGAAACTTATTAATTATCTTAAACCGCAATATTCCTGTTTGCCATGCAGCAAAATTGGGAAATGGCTTTATCCCTTTCTTGGGAAATTAGAAAAACATGTCATTGGCAAGAAGAGAGGCAGACGGGAGTTATATTTTTGTAGGCGAAAACAAATTGAGAAATGAAAACAGAGAATGAACCTTCTGTGAAGGTTAGGATTATGAAAATTGATCCTGTCATAACAGGAACATGGTCTGCTTTATACTTTTGCTAAGACGATGATTGTTGAGAATTTAGGTAAAAAAATTGGGAAATAAGCTTTATCTATTGTTTGGAAGGTTAAAATGAGAAGCAGTGATCTGGTTTGTGTTCTTGCTGTACAGCAGTAATAGTAGGGAAATGGAAGGGAGAACTGAAATTAATGAGAATAAATTATGCCCTTTTAAAATTAGATTTGTCACAAAGACAGTTATGCCTGAGAAGTGGGAAGCATAGTTAGCATGAGGTAGAATTTAGGCCCGCCTGTGTGGAGTGGTGATGTTAAGTGAAGGAGGGCGGAATTAAGGGCAGAGCAATCTCTGTGACCAAACTTAATAAAAGTGGTTAATTATCTAAATTTGGAAAGTTAATTTTTTTTTCTTGGTTGAGGAAGCAAGAAAATATTCAAACCAAAGCTTTTAATGTTAATCAATTTTTGTTTAGTGTTTCATTGTTTGGAACTGAGAATTTCAATTTTACATATTCTTTTCCATCCATGGTTATTGGCTACAAGCAGAAAATGTCAGAATAACCAAAAACCGATCTTCTTGTGGGGAGGGGGGGGATTAATTGCTCAATGTTCCTTTTAGCCGAACTTGACTCCTTTGCAAATCATTGCAGTCTTTCAATCTGCAAGCCAAAAAGAATTACCGATCCTTTTAATGAGCATTTAATCTAAGAGATTAGAAGCTGTGAGAATAGATTGTAGACTGGACTTCATTTTTTTGGGTGCTCGATTTATTAAGGTCTTGTGCTTTTCTACATTTTCATCTAGATAATTACTATTGGCAATTAGTTACTCATCCTGTCCTTTTAAGTGGTTGAATATCTACCAAAAATACAGTAACTGCTAGGATTTGGAACCTATTTTTTTTATTCCATTTCTTGGGGAAATTCCACTTCATCCAGGAAGCTTGCCTTCAAATTGGAGAAGAGGAAAACAAACATGAAGAATCTCTGCCCATTGATGATTTTATGTGATTTTGTTTGGGAAATTCATATGAGAAAAATTCCTTTGTTATTCCCCCTTTATTAAGAAAGCAGAATCTGGGGAAACCTGTTCCGGGTCTTTTTGGATTTAGAAAGCGGTGGTGGGAACTAATCTTTGATATGCAAAAATGGTGGTAAGGAAAATTGGCAAACATTCAATTCTATCACTGTTTTGTTGTGTGCCTATAAATGCAGGCGACAGATAAATGTCTGCAACTTTACAAGCAACAGAACTTAGTAAAAGCAGATTTTAGAATACACAATATAATATAAAAGGTTTTGGAATAAAAAAAAAAGAAAAGAAAAAAAAAGAGGCTAGAACCTTTTCATTCTATTGAAATATAAACAGAAAAAATATTTCAAGAGTAAATTTTGGAGTACGGATTTTGCTATCACATGGCAAGTCAGTAAACAATGTGAAAGACTTGTCCAAAATTCCAAAGGCCAACCATCAAGTCAAGTGGGGAATTTAATTTTTCAAATCGATTCATAGAATCAAAAATGTAAACCATTTCTACAGAATTATTTGCCCAAAGGTTAAAAATGTCAGTTTTTAAAGCCAGGATAAATCTTTCCCTTTGCTAACTGGGTGATTTTGGGGTTATTTAATTTTTTTTTCTTTTAACAATAATGGAACCTGTTTTAATTTTTTCAAATCAATTTAGATTATAGTTTAAATTTAAGAGTAAACTAAAGAAATGTTGGAATATGAGAACTGGCAGTAGCATCTTTGAAGTCAGGCTTTAGAATTACTAGTGTTCAAAACCTTTTGGAACCTGTGGAAATCCCTTCTTCATACTGTGTCTGGGTGATTTCAAAGAAAGCGGCTATTTTGTCACAGAAATCACAATGAATAGTGACCAAAAGAAATTGACTAAAAAAAAAAAAAAAAAAAAAAATGGTCAAGAGAGAATTAGAAGCCATTTTTTGGCTGATAGATTCTTCAGTAGCGGTTGTTCACTCTGTGAACACAAATCTAAATGTGGCAGAAATAAGGATTTCATCTAAATCCTTGGGAAAGGTATGAGACCACTTCTCTCCCCACAAGCTATGGGTTAATTAGTAAGACGTGATTTACTAGAATCATTTTCTCCTGAAAAAAAAAAAAAATTAGATTTTGGAATTAAATAATAATGCTGCTAAAAAAAAAAAAAAAAAAAAAAAAAAAAAAAAGAAGACATTAAAAGAGTGAAGTTTAAGCTCTAGTAAGAAACTGAAGGCTATTTGCCAGTTCCAGACATAAAATGCATTTTAGCAGCCACCCAACTGTAAACATTCTCCGCCTCTTCTGCAAAAAAAAAACAAAAAAAAAAAACAAAAAAACAACTCAGATTGCAGTGGAAAGGAAAGCAAAACCTAAAAGCATACAAATATTTATGCAATTGCAATCATATTTTGAAACACCTGTTCTTGTTCGATCATCAAAGTTAAGCAATGTTGAGCCTGGACAGTACTCAAATGGGTGACTGCTGAAGAATACCTGATGTTGTAAGCTACATGACAGGTCGAGCAATGGATACAATCTTGCCACTTACAATAGAAGACCTTGATATGTGGACGTACTTCTTGACTGACAGGTTGCAAGAACAGGAGTTGGGATGGAGAGAGAACAAAGTGAAAGTTTTCTCAAGTTAATCAAACAATATTTACAGGTTTAATTAAATCTTTTTACATTTTATTGGGGAAAAGGGGAAGGCAAGACAGACATCTTGGAATTAGGATGGCAGCAATAATCCACTTACATTAGTTTTCAGTATGTATTAAAAATAAATTGTGAGTTATTTCTTGGGTTGTCCCATAGCCTGAGGTGGGGTGAATGAGGAAGTTTTTCGCAGACCAACTAATTATACCAAACACAACCAGTTTACCAAATTATTAAATTTTAAAAAGATAAAATTACATAGATTTTTTTTTCAATAAGGTTAGTTATTTACTTTTATTTTAGCAAATGACAATTCAGATTTATAAATGGAGGCGGAAAACTGGCATCATTTTTTTTTTCAATCCACAAAAAGTTTTTACCTTACCAAGAATGTTTGATTGCCTAATCAAAAGATTAAGTGCATGATCAAGAGCTTTAAAGAATTTTCCAAATAAGTAAAATAAAAAGTTAAGAATCTTGTAAGAGAACAAAACTCCATCCCCGTATTTTGAACAGGAATAGAGGTTTATTTCTGTTTTCCGGTTCCTTTTCATTTACCTACACCAGTTGTATGACTCGTGTATAAAATCGTCAGATCCTAATAGTTATGAACTTTTCAATACGGCTATTTTAGAAAATTCTGAGTCTAATGGGAGCAACGCTATATTGTCTATTGATTCAATGTATAAGATTATTATAAATATAATTTAATAGCGGGGGGGGGGAATAAATGTAAAATTATAGAATGTGGTTAAACAATAAAATAAAAATAGGGACGCTGAACTATAGAAAGTTCCGTTAAAGTTGAAGGTGGCAATGATCCAAGGGAGGTAACTTAATATATATATAAAAAAAAGGTGGGGGGTAAGAAGTAAGATAGAATAAATGTAAATTAGAATTAATATGGATATGAAATTAATATGGAGTTAGTATAAATATAAAATTAATATAGAATTAAGAGGAAAAAAGGTTATAAAAATTATAAACATGGGGAAAATGTGATAATAGAGAAAAGCGGTATAGGAGATTAAAAAAAAGGCAGGTCGGGGGGGGGGGTGTAATTCTAATGATTTTAGGTTAAAATGCTAACCAGAATCAAAATATTTGAGATGAAAGTTGTTTTTTTTTTTTTCCTATGAATACATGCGATCATAAGCTCACTTTGTTACTCCAACCTGTTGAAGAATGTGTTTAAAAATTATACATTTTTCTCCCTTGCTACTAAAGGTTTTGGTTTTAGTGATGTAATCCTAATTTACTAAAAGGTGTGTAGTTATGCATCTTAATTTCCCAGAAAAAATTAGTGCCGTGTAATATTGACTACTGGTGTCATTTTATGGTGGTAATACCGAGTTTTCCATTTGTTTGGGGGTGGAACCAAAATAAATTTCATTTCGCTATTATGTTTAATACTAGCTTTATAAACAATGCCTTTAGAATTTAGTGGGTAAGTATTGTTCTTTCTACAATTACAACTATTTTTGGTATTATTATTATTACCATGGAGATTTCTTAAATGCTTGTTTAGCATTATATTATTATGATCTGATAAATACTGTTCAAAGTTTTTAGTACAGCTATAGCTTTAATGTTGTTTTTGTTGAAAATCTTTTCCAGCATTGGGATATGGTTGAAATGCTTATGAATTAAGTTAAGGAACATTTTTTACCAATGTTGGATTTGACATTTTGGTTAAACAGGGAGTTAAACCAAATTATATTACGTTTTCTATATTTATGCCAGTTTTGTTTCTAAGTATTCTAGTTTAACCTTGCTTTTTTTTCTAAAGCATCTACATTATGCATATTTCATAGAATTGGAATTAATTCCAATTGTATGAAATACTTTGGTCTGTTTAATGAAAAATTCTATATAAAAAAAATTTAAAATTCTATAGTGTTAACAGGACTTGCTTGGATTATACCAATGGATTACTGTGTGTGTGTGTGTTTGTTTGTTTGTTTTCCATTTTAACTTTACTGCCAAATACATAACTTTTTGGATATACAAGCTGGAAACCTAATGAATTCTTTCTACAATTTCCATGCAGATTTGCCATTCTATCATCTGTCATTGTGCCTTCCAGCTTTCATCAGGTGTACGTCAATTTGGTTAATCTACAGAGAATTCTGAACACAACCCTTTATTTAATCTCCAGGGCAGACTGTTCTCGTTTCATTGACCATGTCTAGGGATATCCTGTTATTTTCAGTCCTGCTTGCTTAATGTTTCACTAAGTCCAAGTACACACGACCCAGCCCTCTCACAATTACAAAAACCAACACCATCATCCACTAGCCTATTGTCCTGGTGTCAATTCTCACTGGAGCCATAAACCAGACCTGTCTGCTGAGGAGTGATACTTCATCACACTTGACTGCACTCACTGAAGCTTTATAATTTTTTGTTAACTCCTTTCACCCCATGTAACGAGGTAATGCCACAAGTACGCTGGGGCTTATAAGGAGTGAAAGAGGAGATTGAGAATAGGGAGGATTGGAAAGACAAAAGATGAATGGGGGTCCAAGAAGACAGGTGGCGATTGACATTTCATTTAAATTTTTTAAGATTGTAGTTATCAGGGAAGCAAGGAAATGGAAGGAAGTTCCACAGGTGGGAAGTGCAAGAAAAGCAACTGTTGGAGTAGAAGTGGCTGTTGCATTTAACTAATTCAACAGTAAAAAGGGTGGGAACTAGATGCCAATCTAGTACCCTGCTTAAATTCATGTATATGGGGCACTGGGGAGGGGGGAAGCTTCACAGAGTAGTTGTCATGAAAATATTTGTAGACAATGGGAAGCCATGTCACGTCAGTGAGAATGTGACTGAAGGCAAGACGCCTGGTCGGATCAATTACATTACAGATCCTTCTTTGGATTTTATCAAGAATCTCTACATGCACATTAGGGCCACCAGACCAGATGTGGCAACAATATTCAGTGCATGGATGAACGGTAGATTTGTAAATGTGCAAGATGAATTCTGACAAAACACAGTGCCCAACTTTCCTTGCAGTAGATGCAGATATTGATTAGATATAGTCACTGCACATTATGTCTGGAAAACATGAGACCAAATACCAACAAGAAATGTTCAGCATAATCAAGCATTACATTCACAATAACAATTACCCATCATCCTGCAAACATCACAGCAGAGGTAGAAACAGAAGGGTCAAGCAGCAAGACCAAACCATGACAAGTAGCTGGCAGTTTAGATTTAAGGCTCCAGTCTTACAAGGATGATGGTTCGTGAATTTGGTGATGTAGTAATTGTGTGTTCAATTCAATCAGTGTATACTTGAGACTCAGTGGAAACTGAGCAGAACTAAAAATAAGATTCTACTTCCATAGATTAAATAAAGGAGTTACCTGGATTGATAGTCACCTGATGAAGGTTAGAGAGTACAACAGCCACAATGTTGTGATAACAACAACAAAAGACAAGGACAATTATCTGTATGCAAAAAAGTGTAAATAATAAATTAACATTTCCCTTTACAAAATTGGAAAAATGGAAGATTCTCTGGACATTTTCTTTAAAGTTTAAGAATTTATTTAGAGAATTTTCAATCTTGAAATTTAAGTCCTACAGGAGTTTAGACTAAAAAATAGGGTGAGAGGGAATTCAAGTTTTGAAAAATCCAGTCACCAACAAAAGAAATCAAATACCTTTACCTGTTTTGTTTTTGAAGAAAAAAAAAAAAAGTCTTATTTTCAACACACAGATGCAATGGTTAACAAGTCAAAGATTTGGCAGGTGAGCACTTCAGAAAGGATATAAAGTGACAATTCATCAAATAACAGGGCCGTTCCATCTTCTGAACACATTATGGTGTAATTTGATGACTGAAGAAGAGGTGGGAGGAAAATAAAAGGCAATTTGCAGATATTTCTGTTCTTATGAAGAAAAAATAATTGATGTGGACAATTGAATTTTTTTTTCTTTAAATAAAATTGAATAACTTGAATTTGTACAAAAGTTTTTCTTTCAATTCAGTAGAATTTTGATGAAATGCTTTCAAGTTTTAGTCTAACAGGTATGTTACTAAAAAGGAGTGATGTGGGGAAACTGGAGTTGATTTTGCTTTATTGAGAGAGGAAATTAAAGAATTGAAAAGATCAAAGCAAAAGCTGAGAATAGAAACTAATTGTAGGAATAAAATAGAGAGAATCACATTTGGTTAAGAGAACACATGTAATTTGGTGTGTTGAAGAGAAGGCAATTCTTAACTCAGGCCATCTCTTCAGGCACTGGGGGCTACAACTGTCAACACATGAAAGTTTGTTGCTGGAATTAAGAAATTAAGTTTTTTTTTTAAAAGAGATTTTTACTTTTGATCTTTGGGTTAAGTTAATTATTCAAGTATTGTTTATTTTATTTGAACTTGCAATATTTTAGCTTTAAGCAAACTTTTTCTTTGCAAAATTCACAAATGTCATTAAGAATTTTGTCACATAAAAATAAAAAATTAATATAAATTAATGTTTCTCTATGATGTTGTTCTTTAATGATGATATTAATTTTTTATGAAGAATTTGTTTTTCTTTAACAGGACAGGTATTAGTTCTTTTTAAAAGTAGGATGAATTTTTGTTATTTGTAAATAAATGAAAGACATTAAAACCAAAACTAACGTTTTTCACTGCAAAATTAAATAAATTTAATGTTTTACAACTATTAAAAATATACCACAAAAATGTAAAGACATTATTGTCTTGTCAATATAGTCTTTTTCTTTTTATTACATTTTTGGCAATTATTTTAAACAGCAAAAATATCTCATTAAGAATTTTCACACAGAAAGTTAATTTATTTTTTTTTCTTTATACTATTATTCTTCATAAGGAAT